TGGGACTTCTGGTCTCAAGATGGTGACCAGGGGGCAGGGCACCTGTCAAAAGACAGGACTATCCCTGTGGCCCCCGACAGCTCACCGAAGTCATTAAGCAGCCCTCCAACTGAAATAATTACCCATTCTTAAACTAGGCTATAGTGCTTGGGCAGAGCTAACTCCAGGGGCGATGTGCACCCCCTGAGAGCACTGGTGTGCCCCCTGTCAGGCCGCACTCCCCGTTTAGCCGGCAGATAGGGGGTCAGGCGGGAACACCGGTGCCCCCCCGTGAGTGCCGGCCAGGGAGCGGAGCCAACAGCAAAAGCAGCTGCGCCACTTCCAGAAGGGGCTGTGGGAGTTCTGGCAGCAGCATGGCTGCTTTTACAGTGAATGAGATCGGCTCCCTTGCAACCAGCAGGATCGGACCCTCCTCCCCGGTCGCTGACTGGTGTTTGAGGGTGGGGGGGCACATTCCCCCTCCCCCCCGCGCCCTGACTCAAGAGGCACCAGACACCCATGGCTAGCCCAGATATTTCTGCATAGTTTTGTTTGGTCCCATGTAGACACTGATGCTCATTTATGGGCAGATTCATAGAAGCTCTGAAGAGCCAGACCCTAAGATGTGCTGTGAAAGAAGGCTACAGATGCTCAGCACCTCTCGGTGGGTGCAGACAGAAGTGCAGCTCCCCACTGTAATTCATGCTGCTCTGCAGGAAGCACCATGAGTTTCAGTGATTCCCCCGACCCAACAGACTTTCACTGTTTGAGGGATCTAGCTGCAGTCTGGAGTGACTGCAAGTCTCCAGTCACTCTCCCCTAGTGCCGCTCCTTCCCACTTCCCATTCCTGGCTCCGTCTTCAGAATAGTTGGGGAGGAAGGGAGCAGAGGGGACTCAGTATGGGGGGTTTTCAGCCAGTGCTGGAGGGTGGGGCAGGTAAATAGGAGCCCTCCCCCCTCACCTCCAAGCTCCAATCTACCCATCCCACTCTCCAGCGCTGGCTGAAAAAACCCCAGACTGAGTTCCCTCCACTCCCTCCCCTCCCCTCCCCTCTCATTCTGAAGACTGCTGGGAGCAGGGTTGGGCTCTGTCAGCTCAGTTCTGTTCCCAGCGTGTGCTCACAGACATTGATGAAGGCACTCTGCTTTGAAGCACCTTCATCTGAACACTCATGTAATGAGGGTTCAAATTGTTGTGGGATCAAGTCTTTTTAAAGTGCTCTCAAGCATTTTAGAATGCTTTCAAGAGGCCAATCACATGACAAACATAATTTCTGTCTGCTCCCAAAGTTTGGATTTTCAATTACATGAAATACTGACATGACAGATATTTTTCATTAATGCACAGTTACGCAATAGGAAGCAAGGGTCCTTGCATGCAAACACACTGGCTTTTGTTTTTGAAAAACAGGAAGCTTAATCCTCATTTATATGAAAGCCATTTTAGACCACTTGGGCAGTGTTTACATTTACATTGGCTGAATGGTGTTAACCAGCCTTTGTGTAAATGAGAATCAGGCTTTTAGAACGTAACCATGATATAGCTGACCAGTGAAATTAAAAGTTATGGTCTTGCACTACATTAGAACACTATACGTTATAACAGAACAATCACAGCAATGTATTTAACAGAAGCCCACATGTGCAAAAGCAGGGAGTTTAAGGTAAGGATAGCGATATATTAGGAGATCTGTGACATGTGGCATGCAAAGGGCATGTCTGTGGTATAGCTGGCTCTAGCCAGCTGTGCTTGATGTACACTTTCCCAAGCATTAAGTGTCTATACAGTATTAAGATAAACAGTAGCCACTCTTTAATTTCCATTCTTTAATTGCAGATCTGTTTTTTGTCATTAAAAATGTGGTTTCACCCCACTTCTCAAGAAATATTTACCAGAACAATACTTAACAAGGGCTTAATAATTATCTCTATTTGATGTAAATCTGTTAGTCAATGAAGTCATACTGAAGTAAAATCAACATGAGATCATAACCACTTGCTCACAAAATATATCACAGGTTTTTTTCCTAACATACTATAGAATACTTTAAAGAACAATTAAGCTACACTTACCAAAAATAGAGGCTTATTCTGCACCATTATAGCCAAAGGAAACTTCATCAGTGTTCTGAGAGCAGGCCCAGGATTTCCATGAATAAAACACAGTTAGTAATATTATAGCCTTTCCAGTGTGTATATGCCTACCTATGTATAAATTACATTCTGCAATTTGGTACAATCGGCATAAAAACCGTTAACTCCAAAGCGGACTGGCCAAGTTCACTGATGACACCAAACTCTGGGGCAAAGCATCCACTCCTGAAGACAGAAGGGTGATCCAGGCTGACCTGGACAGGCTCAGCAAATGGGCGGACGAGAACCTGATGGTGTTCAACACTGAAAAATGCAAGGTTCTCCACCTTGGGAGGAAAACCCTGCAGCATCCTTACAGGCTTGGCTACGCTGGCTAGTACTACGGAAGAAAGAAACTTGGGGGTCATCATTGACCACAAGATGAACATGAGCCTTTAATAAAATACTGCAGCTAGTAAAGCGACCAAAACGCTGGCTTGCATCCATTAGATGCTTCTCAAGCAAATCCTGGGACGTCATTCTCGCCTTGTACTCGGCTTTGGTGAGGCCACAGCCGGAGTACTGCATCCAGTTTTGGGCTCCACAATTCAAAAAGCATGTGGAGAAGCTTGAGAGAGTCCAGAGAAGAGCCACGCGCATGATCAGAGGTCAGGAAAACAGACCTTATGATGACAGGCTGAGAGCCATGGGGCTCTTTAGCCTGGAAAAG